CCAGGGTCCTCCTTTCTACCCTTTTTAAAATAGTCATAATCTGTTTGCTTCTTGTAGATGGATCCCTGAAGTGGAGAAGTTTCAGCTTTCTTCATGTAACTCTTCTGGGATTGATCGTCTGTCTTGTTTCTGCCCTTTCATTGGGCCCATTCATCGTATTGGTAATAACCCCTTTTTCACCTGTTATTCCCCTGAACTGTGAGAAAATTGTGTTATAAAAATATAAACCATGTTTCGTCTAAAGAGACCATTTCTTCCTTTTTTTTTTGTTTTCTGTAGGGACAGCTGCCTCAAGTCATTTCACGGCTTTTTCCCTTCAAACGAGGCCTCTGCCATGCTTACTGGGCTCCCAACTTCTGGGCTCTGTACAATGTCGTGGATAAAGCCCTAACAATTTTTGGTACGGTGTGCTCATCTTGCTATACGGTGCTTAAATGCAGGTAGAGCTCTCGGGAGTTTAGTTTTCCTTCCCCATTTGAAATGCAGGTAATAAATTACACTTTCAGATTGTCTTAAATCACCTGATTACTTACATAATCCAGTGCGTGATAAATTTCCAGCAGTAGGCCAGAAATCAGTCATTCCTCTCTGCTGTCCTTTAAAAAAGAAAAAGCTTGGCCATGTGCTTAGTTCAGCTATTTCATTTCTTCATTAACATTTATCAGTTTGCGCTTTGTTTCTGTTTTGTTTCTAGGTTTAAAGTGTAATTTTCTTGATCCCACAAAAATTCCTAAAGCCTCGATGACAGGAGGGCTGGTTCAAGAATTTCAGCATACTGTCCTCCCTTCAGTGACTCCACTGGCAACGTTAATCTGTACTTTCATAGCTATATTGGTAAGAACAAATAATACTTTTTGGAAACTTGGTGTGTTTTGTCCCTAGTAGGTGTAATTTGATTAGTGTGCACTTCACACAAATTTTAATTCCGGGTCAACAAGTAAGTTTTCTTTAAAAACAAAAATAAAAATAACAAAACCAGTTATTAGGATAAATATGGAATTAATATCTGTCTTGATCCACAATATTGCTTTCTTCAAGTATGGCTAAAATTATGGCTTGTGTCGGCTGTAGAACTGATTTTTAAGAGATTAAAAGCAATCTTGCATCAAAACCACTCTCTGCACGCTGAGCCAGTGGGAACTTTTTGTGACAGAAGTTAGTTGAGGTGGGATGTGAGTGGAGACACTGAGGGAGGTGTTGGGGCAGCACGAGCTGCGGGCAAGCGTAGTGCTCTTCAGGTGACAAGCAAAGAACTGAAGGTTTGGTGAGTAATTACCTGGCTGCAGAGTCTTTTTTTCACTCTAATGAGCATCTAGCCTTTAATTGGAGATCTTAGTTACTACATAAACGTCTTGAAACATCGTTAAAATGAGTTTAGAAAGACAGTTCTTGCAGCACAAATAGCAGGGAGCGGGCGGTGGTCTTTCAGTCTACTTTTTCCCTCCCGTTACCCTGATGAAGTCCTTCAGGCTCTACTGGTACATCCAGGCAGATACGGTTCCTCCAGGGCTTGTGCCACAACCTGGGTGCGGTGGTGGTGGTTGACGTTGGAAAAAAAAAAAAATCTCATTGGACAATGGCTTGTGTTCAGGATTGCCAAACTTTTCACTGAAGTCCTGTTTTTGCCTGTTGTTTCTAGCCCTCTGTTTTCTGTCTTTGGTTTAAACCTCAAGGGCCCAGAGGCTTCCTACAGTGCCTTGTTCTTTGTGCGCTGAGCTCCTTCATGTTTGGCTGGCACGTGCATGAAAAAGCAATACTCCTTGCTATTCTGCCTTTAAGGTGAGTGGATTTTGTACCTGGTAGCTGGCCAAACCGAGCCTGCTGCCGCTTGTTGAGAAATCCTCAAAGAGGATCGCGTTGTTTTCGGTGTATTTCGGGAAATGCACGTGTTTACAGAATGCCTTAAGCTGTGAAGTTTTAGCGTGCTTCAAGTAAATTCATTTGGGGGACAATAAAACGTGATTACCTCAGCCATAGGATGTGCTGATGCAGATATAGCGTATGTAGGAAACTGGCGTGGTGTTTTAACAAGCAGCGTCTTTCACGACAGCCAACGCTGGTTTCCACTTTACAATAGTTTGCATTGATGGAAGCTCTGAGTAGAGCTTTACTGGGAGCAGCTGGGAGCAGCTGCTTTCTGTATCAGCGCTGTAGGGCACAGCAGAGCTTTGTACGAACTCACAGATGAGCAGAACAGCAGCAGCGTGTTGGTGTGGGGATAAGCCATTGCTTTTTGGAGCCCGACACGCAGGCCAACAACTGCACACGCTCTTTCGTGTGTCTCTGAACGCCGAGTGCTGTTAAGATGCAAAATATAACAGAAAAATCTCTGTGTTTGGATTCAGACACCTGATTGCCGTTAGAGTAACGTGAGGGGGGGAAAAATGCTTGCAAAAGAAAGGATCTCAGGCTTGAGGCTGCATGTGGACACACCGCTCCTGAAAGAATTCATTTAGCTTCCCCTTGAAGCCTCCTGTTCTTAGTGATGGCTTGAGGGTGTTGACGAAAGGTCGCCATCACGACAAACTTACCTGCACAGTGGCAGATCAGCAGACACTTCTTCATTGCAGCGCTGGGAAGCGCTGGGGATAGCTCCACCTGACGTGCTTCAAAGTTACATAAAAAGTTCAGCATTTTATATCCTTTTTCTGCAAAGTCATGATCTTTAACATATTTTAACATAAGCCTGCATGCTATGCCCGCTATTAATTTTGACATTTACAATGACTGGTCCACCTATTAACTAACTTCATTAATATTCCTATACTAATATAATCATTGGTTATCTTACTGATCAAGATCTCTGATGCACAAATTAGGATGGGGAGGAGGTGAGGGTCTTCACCTTAACATTCCTTAGTTTCTCTGGTTTCATCCCATAAGATAAGACGACACACCAAGAATGGGCACTTTCACTCCCTGTGCCTGCCTCCCTGTTCTGTTCTGGACAATTTCACCAATGAGCAGCAGCTTTAGCTTTGACCTTCTTCGCAAGGCAGCTGCTGTTTCTGAGCATCAGTGAGGTTTTGTATATCTCTTACTACAATGTAAACTAATATCATCAATACATAGTGTTAGTTATTCCTTGAAGCAATTAAGTCGTTCATTAAAAGCCATTAGTTAGCAATGAAAAGTAATTATCTCTTCAAATTCCAAACTTAATTATAACAGGGGCAGGCGTGGTAAAACCTTTCACTCGGGTGACACATGGACGAAAGCAGGCTGCTTTCTTAGGGTCTTTTTCTCCTCCCAGTGTGGTTTGTGCAGAACATTCAGTCCCAGAGACCTATTCTGGGTCGCAGGTCTTGTGGCTTTGCCTTTTGAAGAGAAGAACTTATTGGCTTGCCTGGCTTTTGAAGCATTTGATGCCACTGTCCTGCTCAGCTTTGGCAAGCAGCATAGCTGATGAAGTCCTTGTTCTCTCTGAACAGCTCAGAGATCTTCTCTGGCAGGGACAAATGTGAAAAATCATTGTAGTCTTTTCACTGCCGGGCAGCTGACGCCTTGCTGAGTGCTGGGGTTCGTATTTAAAACGCCAGGTAGATTGTTCAGGAGCCAGCTGAGGAGAGGGACCTTCTGCCCTACGCTTGACAAGGCCAGCACGCAGTTTCTGCCAAAATAAAAGGTTTAAATCAGATGCTCAGAGCAGCTGGTTCAGAGGTTTAGTGATGCTTAAACTTCTGAAGAGGGAATTGTGGGAGGGAGGGGATTCACACTGGAAAAACACAAGGAAGGAGAAGAAGTTGGGATGGCAGTGGTGGCAACCAGCTGGCAAAGGAAAAAGACCATTTGTGGAAAACTTCAGGCTGGTGTTTGTGTTCAGCGGGTCTGTGGTTTTCTGGGGGAGGGTTTCTTGGCTGATTTTTCTCCTGCGGATTTATCTCTGAGGCCACGTGGTTTGGAAGTAGGAGACTTCATCGCAGCTCCAGTGTCTGGAGGGACTATGAAACTATTTGATGTGTTCTTCGGTCTCTTGTGAATTCTGTGGTGTTTTGCTGACGTTAAGTTTCTTCACTAAAAGACAAAAGCGTAACAAATTCTCGTCGTTTTTAGCTTGTTGTCTGTTCAGAGAGCGAAGGACGCTGGCATCTACCTGATTCTGACAACCACAGGGCATTTCTCACTTTTTCCATTGTTGTTCACGCCAGCAGGTAAAGTGTTTTCCTTCTTTCTGTGCTTTCATCTTACTGCTTTGGGGTTTTTTTCCAGAGATGACATGCAGGTAATGATTTATTTTATGTAATAAGTTGAAAGCTGCAGGAAGCTGTTTGTCAGCCTGTTCCCATAAATACAAACTCTCCAACTAGTGACAAGAAATGTGGGTTTATAAAGCGGTGGAAGAGGCATCGGCTTGAAGTTGAAAGAGACAGGAAATCGTCATAGTCAGTATTTGTTACCCCTCATTCTGCCACAGTTCTAGAAACGCCCCCCTGTTTGACATAACCATGTGAAGCAAAAGTGATAAAGACAATTTGAAAAGGCAAACCTGTTTTCTAGCCGACTCTTCCAGCCGACCGCTACTTCATGCTGTCAGTAATGTGCTTGAGCTAAAACCATGCAGCAGCATCAGATAAATCAGTACGTCTGGGGCAGATTGATGTGTCTTTGTGACCCAAGGCTGTGCCTTCCTTCCTCCCCTTTCAACTAGCCAAGGGTCTGTTTGCTTCCCTTCAACCCTCGGCCATCAGAGCTACGACAACGCTGTAGCTTTATCGGTTGTCGTCCTTCTGGGAGAGTTCAAATCCAGACACTCCCCCTCTTGTGCTCTGATAATGCCGCCTATTTGCAATAACAAAGCCTTGAGGGATTAGAAACATTCTCTGCCTTCTCTGTTCATTTTATTTAGCGTCCAGCCTCGAACTAGATAGCATGGACTTGGCTGTCACCTTTGTTTTAAGCTTCCCAGTGAGTTCTGGTTTCTTTTGAGTAGGAAAATCTTATTTGCAGTGCTGTCATAAATTGTACTTATTTGTGAGTTCAGCATGTTTATAGATAACTGAAGTTGAGGGTATTGCAAATGCCTGGCACTTGCTTTAGTAAATATTGATGCTCATTTTTAGGTGTCCTAAGCAGTAAACCCTTTAATTCTGTTTGGAGAAACTAATTAAGTTGGACAATACAAGTTTGACTAGTAGGATTTAAAGACACTGCGATTTATACGGCAAAATGTTCTTATAATTAATTTTAAAAGCACGTTATGTTCCTTGTGTTTCAGAACTTCCCATTAAGATACTGCTTATGCTGCTGTTTACTGTTTATAGCTTCTCCTCGTTGAAATCTCTATTCAGGTAATTAAAGAAACTCGTTCCTAGCACCAAGAACAGAACCATTTCTTCTGTCACGGGGACCAGTGTGGTCATAAGGGGCAACCAGCACAGAAAACTTATGCTGAAGTATCAAATTGAAGTGTTACTGGTCAAAAGGTGCTGCTGCTTCTATTCTTAGGAGGCAAGGCTTAAGTTACTGTGGGGTTTTGTGGTACTTCGTATTTCCATGTCTGGAAGGGGCAGGTTATAAATAACACAGACTTACAAGCTGTAATTTCTCAACAAATCTGCAAAGGCTTGGTTGTCAGGACGTAGATAAATCATCCTGTGTGGTTTTACCAGCTGCTGATCTCTTACCCACTTGACCAAAGATTGTGCTTGGCCTTATAACCCCTCTAGTCTCCACTTTCCTATTTCCCAAACTTTTCATGACCAAACCAAGCTGTGATGAAGGAGGTTGGATATGCTGTAAGCCTGTATTCAGTACGTCAGTCACCTGCTTGTTGTAGGTGATCCTCTTTCAACCAGACTGCTTTTCCCCCCTTGGTACTCCAGAATCCAATCGTTCGGTCCCAAGAGCTTTAACTAAAAACCTCTGTAGGAGCTTAGTTTCTGTCTAGAGATGGAGCTTTTGCAAGCTTCTTGTTCCTCACTTTCCAAAACAAGCAAATCCCTTCCAGAAGAACATCAATTCCCCTGTAAACTACCTGCAGGCAAAACCCCAGTGCCAAGGAATGTCCTTTGCAAGAGAGATTGGCTCAGCACGTCCTACGGAGAGCTTGGGGAAGGGGGCAGAGGTTAAGACAAATCTGACACCCCCGTCTTTGGATGTAGGATAATTGCAGTGGGACGGGCGTGTGTATATTCAGTTGTTCACTGAAATGGTGTGAGGTGAAGCGGAGCAGCTGCGGAGGTTTCTGCTTAGATACCAGGGCATCTCGGGACTTGGTGCAGAAGTCACGTGGTGAGGAAATCAGCTGTACCCTGTCTTATCACACCGGGGTTTTTTTCCTCCTGAAATTCTTTAGATCGTGGTTTAAAGCCTTATTGTGAACTAATGGGGGATATTCTGGTCACCAGTGATAGCTGAAGAACAGAAGAGTTATTTTTAGGTAACATCATGTGTTTTAACACTTTTTTTTTATTTATTATTCCTCTGACAGGAGAGAGAGGCCTCTCCTCAACTGGCTCGAAACCATCTACCTCGCCCAACTAGTGCCTTTGGAAATCTTCTGTGAATTTATATTTCCTCTGACGCCCTGGAAACGGCACTTTCCTTTTGTCCCTCTGTTGCTGACCTCGGTGTACTGTGCTCTGGGTGTCGTGTACGCTTGGCTGAAACTCTACGTCTCGGTCCTGACGGAGCGGATTTCTGTTCGGCAAAAGGCCGAGTAAAGCCGCGGGGTTGGGACCAGTCCCAGGTTATCCCTGCGAGAGGATGAGGTGTTGTCACAAGGACATACAGCTCTTGGTAGGACACAGCATCATGTACCATTGCCACACAGGGAGTTTTTCTTCCAAGGCTTCTCTGCTGCCCAGCGAGGACACCTCTGAGCAGAAGCGCCCGTCACAATAACACGGGGTGCAGGGAGATGCCACTTGCCGTGGATAAACTGTGAAGCTTGACGAGGTCCGGACTTCTGTCCCCAGGAAAACCTGCCCGGCTTTCCCGTTACTGTTTGTATTTGAATAAAAATTGCTGTGGCAAATTACAAGGGATCATTTCTGTGTAGAAGAGAGCGTTGTAACTGCTTTCTGTGGAATATGTAAATTAAAAAGTTGATATTTTTGGTTTGAGCATTTCTTGTGACTTTTTAGTCTTGTGTCTAAGCCCTGTTTTCTGAGGGATGCCCACACAAGTGTCCAGCTGGAAACTTGTCCTGAGGTGCTTTGCCAAACTCCTGAACGCCCAAATCTCAAGCTTTAAATTAGTTGCTTAATGCATCCATGTCCTTTTGATCTTGTTTCATAAATTCTTTTCAAAAAGGTTTTAATATTCTAGTAATACTTATTTTTGTAGACCAGATGACTTTATTAAAGCAGCTTCTGAAATAAGGAATTTCTTAAACACCATTAAATGTGTCAGATAATGTGGCTGGATAATCATATTTATTTGCTATTCATGTGAAACTCTGCAACTGTGACAAGAGACCCAGTATCCCCAGTTCCTCTAGTAAATTGAGGAGGAAGTATACTGTGTTCTGCCTCTGCAGAATCACGTACCCTTAATTATGATGCTTTCCTACAGCTTCACTGTACTTTTTTAAACCCTACACCACTGTCCCTAAAAGATTTTGCTCTAGAAATTGGGGTCTGGTTTGCATACCAGTGCTGACAGGTGAAACTGGGAAGGGAGAAGGGGTGGATTTCTGGGGTTTTTTCCCAGTACTTCTTGAACTTTCTTCCATGTTAGTTGAAGAACGTGACATAGCCCATGGGATGGTTGTGCTCTTTGCATTCTTTGAATATTTTGGATGTTAAAATAGAGTGTGGCTCTTGTTAGGACGGCGGGTGGGCAGCGGAGTAGTTGCTGTGGCCATTTGTGTAACCAAATAACTTAGACACTTAAACTTTTCACAGCCGATGAGCTCATTTTTGGACTTTCACTCTGGTTTTCCTTACTTTCTCACAGTTTCTGATTTTTCTACTTCATTAACTACTTTGCCCTGTTCTTTTTAGCTGCTGGCAGTGCCTTGGCGCTGCTTCCAGCTGTATTCTACGTTCGGTCTGTGCCTCAAAGCCGTGGGAAGCGTAGGGCATCCACCGTGCTCACCCTTCTACTGGTGCCTTAAGAGTAATATCCCAAAAAAGACCTTGCTCCGTGCTCTGCTCCAGCAGTGCCTCCGTAAGTCAATGCAAAATCCTCTGAGGACTCCAGCTTTGGCATCGCCCACTAGGGAGTGGGGACAGCCCAAAGGAAAAAAGCTAAAAGATCATTTTTTAGGAAAGAGGCTGGGAATCCAGTGTTTTCCAATGGTTACGTCGGGCCTGGTACTGGTGCCGTGGTGATTGTAGAGCCATTAAAAAAGAAAAACTAACCCCACGGTAGCTCTCGGCCTTTGTTGGCAGGAAGGGCTCTAAAAACGAATAGGTTTTGATGTTGGGCGTTTAATTAATTCCCTGATTTAATTAATTAAACCCCTGGTTTAACTACAGCCTGGCCTGCGCGGGCAGCGGGGGCCGAGCCGCGTC